AAATGCGATGTACATTGTATTGTGCAAATTTGTGAGACAGCGTCAAACAAAAATGATACTTACGACCCATTTGAGATAATCGAGCTGAAAGCTGGCCAATTAATTTTCGCAGTTAGCCGGAGCTGTGTATCGAAAAACCTGTAAAACTACCCTTATTTAATTGCTTTTAGCAAGGGCTTTTAAATAATAATTGAAGCCCTTTAAAATTAAAAAAAATATTGAGCTCACAACACTCTTAAAAATGTTTCGTCATTTCGAGGGCCCATGGAGATATTATTTTTGAGCGACCATCAGTTTTAAAAGCATTCTGTAGCTTATTAATGAGAGAGTTAGAGTACCGGTACTTAAATCCCGATTCGTACTTAGGTTCGTAAGTATCATTTTGTTTGCAAACATATTATGTTGGTGCAATAACTGCTGAAGAATCGGCAGTACTGACCTCTATCTGAGTCTGGTGGATTAGGCGGACCATCTCCGTCTCCGTGATGCTATGGAGCATCAAAAACGTCGTGTATTTGGCCAGCAGGTGCTGGAACGCTGCCAGTTCATCCAGCACGTCGTACCGAAACGCCTCGCTGCGCATTTTTTTTCGAGCAGCAGCCCACGCCTCTCGCTCGCGGTCTCGGGCATCTGAGTACATTTTACGCTTCTCCGACAAGAGTTTACGGAGTACCGTCACTTTCAACTGGTGAGGAATTTTTCTCGACACTGGAGGAACAGACCTATTATTGGAGTTTGTAGACGGCAAATGAAGCGGTGACGACTGGATAAGAGGCGAAAATTTCCGGCACTTTTTAAGTGATACCTTGGCTCCAAGCGGTGACCGAATTGGGGGCTTTGGCGCCTGGGGAATGAGATTCTGGCGTGTGGTGTACACGTCGTACATGACAAGCTGGAACTCTTCTTCCATGTTGCTCCTCAGCTGTAGATCCTGTCGAACATGTAAGTTGTCTGGCGATTCAAAAGCTTGAAGCCCAACTGAATAGGAATCCGCACTCATTGGGGAGTGGGGGCCGAGTGATCTTGAAGAAACAGCGCCAATGGGCATGTGCACAGCGCCTCGATTGCGGAAATGGCGATGCATGTCCTGCAGCTGTTTGTGTTGTTGTGGGTTAATTGGGCTCTCAGCTGAGGATCGCTGAACCATACCGAAAAACGCTGAACCTTTTCCGGCTCGCAATTCCGAGTTCGTTTCTTCACTTTTGCCTTTCAGTGGACAAGGATTGCTCGGCATTGTAAACGTTACGATGCCATGTCTGCGCTTGGCCTTGCGCTCTACTTTTGCCCATACCAGAAGCATTAGCTTGATCCGCGCCGCAGTGATCGCTCGCCAAGACCGCCACATGACTTGAAAGTCTCGCACGCGTTTCCGAAAGCGCAGGATAATGCGTCGGAATTTGACGTCTTGAAACTCGAACCACGCCGTCACAATGAGCGCAACGTTCTCCTTTCCCTCACTGTGATGTTTCCGCTCCAGCCAGACTCGAATATTCCGTTGGAGTTTGGTCACTGCACGAATCACCACAGGCATGCGGAAGAATGCCGACGACAGAGGAATGCCACGTCCAGAACGAAGCAGTTGCAACGAATTACGCTGCTCAAGAGTTCGTCGACGCCAATATCGCTGCAATCGCTTGATCATTAGAATCCGCAACAGTTCGCAGCGCTTCTGATGGAGCTCGTAAAACCTGGTGAGCCACTTCTTGGAGCTCTCAGAAAGCGCAACAACCAGCAGCCACTGACTCTGGATATGAACACGACGAGCTCTCTCGGCCCGCTGCTCGTAACGAGTCTGCCAGCGAACCACGATACGTTGCACGTTCTGATCCCTTGCAGCTTCCAGCTCTTGCTTGCGTTTCTTTGCTTGGTGCAGCTTGTGGTCGGTGGCTGAAGGGAGTAGAGGTGTCTGCGATGGCTTCTGCAGCACTTGAAACGTTGAGGTGGCGCGGTTCCTGGCTATGATATTGACGCCATGTTCTGCAATATGTTGCTGCTTCTTCCACAATTGCAACACCTCCATTCGCTCCAGCACGTGGGGCAAACTACGCAGCTCGTTCATTCGTGACGCCAAGTTGTGAGAACGCAGAGCCACTGCTGTCTCGTGTCGCATCATACTTCGTCTCGTGGAGAGTCTGTTGGCTGAGGGCTTGGCCTTCATAAACGCCATCCCTGCAGTTGTTGAAGCGGCAGAAATGCTTGGTGGATAAAAGAGCGACACCGGCAGCTTGTCCACGGCTTTATTGTTGTCATTTAGGCTTCGAGACAGCCCGAGCTCCGTAGAATGGGTCAGTGGCTGCAGCAACTCTCCATGGTAATGGTGATTGTACTTGCATGACGGATGCCTTTGTGGTCGTGCTGCCGCAACACGCTGAGTGTATGTCGAGCCCAACGTGGACTGGTACCGCGGTCTCATTGACCCTCGCACTTCACCTTGCCTTGTACCCCTAACTTTCTGTGAACCATCTGCTTCTTGAAGAATCTCGTTGAGTACCTTTTCAGCTTTCCGCTGCTTGCGTTGTCCTATTTCGCTCGATCGGTATCGATAGATCAACCACTCTGTAGTTGCTTCAAGAGCGGTGTGGTCCTTCCTCGACGTGCAGCCAGAGTCTTGGTTGGGATATTCAGGTTGAAGAAGTTGATCCAGTACGGCAGTTTTAGTCCTACTTGCATCATCCTGGAACTGATCTTCCAGGTTGTTGTTGTTGACGTTTCTCTCAGTTCGTTTAGGCGATGAAAGGGCCGATGTGGTCTCTTTCAACAAGGGACCTAGGGAGATTGTATACACGTTACTGTCACTTTCAGGCAGGGGCAACCGACCGGGAAATTCTCCACGTGCACTGAGTTGTGCGTTGACTACAGCCTGTGCCTCAGCATTGTGGATTTTGAGGTGGAATCCGTCTCGAACCGTGAAGCGTTTACTCGATGCGAGGTGGTCGGAACTAGGCCCCCAACCCGGAGAAGACTTTGTTGCTAGTGGGGTTGGTCGTGCAAGTTCAAAGGGCGCTTGCCTCTCGCTGTTGTTGCTGAGAGTCATGCCAGCTGCACTGATCCTGGGTAGGCCAACCGATAACTTTTGTTCCTCGAAAAACTCCAGGTTTTGTAGGACCAACAACTGTCAGAAAAGGGAGAATCCATTTGATCCGAAAATATATTCCAGGCGGGTGGTTGCCATCATCCCTTTCGCAGGGTTCCTCAAAATATAATCCTGGTATTGTGCCTTTCTGCCCAAACGCCCTCAGTTTTATGGTCTTACGTAGGAGGATGGACTCCATACAACAAATTAACAAGGTAAGATGTAGCAGTCACAAAATTGATATTAGAGGCATTCAGAAGCACCGTTCAATGAAATCACGTAGCTAAAAACCCGTAGCGTCGATACCGCGTTTTGCTACGTGTTTTGAAAATAGTATTGCTGCTTCAGAACTACCGTTCAAGTAAAAACACGTAATAGAAACACGTATCTAGCCAGAGTGAATGTTCACGTATCTAGCCAGAGTGAATGTTCAGCTCACAATAGCAACTTCAACGTTGATACCCGAACTAAGGCACTCAAGCTAATGAAGAGGCCCCGGTCTGCTGACGACGACGATGAAGTTTTGCTACTCTGGTTGATGCGACCAGCGTCCCTGCCGTACCGAGAGCGCATCCTTGTCCCTGAGTTTCGCCTGAACATCCTTGCAATGTCTGACAAGGAAGCGAAAGACCAGTTTCGCTTCACTGTGGGGGAACTACATCTACTTGCGCGCCATCTGAAGCTTCCAAATATCATTCGTACACGGGAGGGAGTACGCACTAACTCCCTCGAGGCGCTGACCGTTTGCTTACGCCGCCTGGCATAATTGTCTGCCACGTCTTGATAACGAGCCGTGACGGATCCGTGCTTTGCGGCATAAGGCTGGACGCTCAAAATCTCCCTAAGCAATGCCAAGTCATCTCCAGTCGTAAAATGAAACTTTTTCGCCTGCTTGGACTCCTTCTTGTTGCTGTTGGGAGCGCTGGTCTTCTTTTTACCCTTGCTACTCTTCCGTGGGGTCTTTCCATGCGCTCTAGCGCCGCCAGTGGGTTGATTATCACTCGTAGAAGCAGCAGAAGAAGTCCACAAAGTGCGCGACTGCGTCGGCAAGCCAAGGGCAATCACGCAGTTGTGCGAGCACACTCGCACGGAGAGATCTCCTTCGTAGATGGCGTTAGAGCATATATGATGGACCTTCTTAGAGCGGGATGAACACTTGGTGACGTCTACGTCGTCCTATTCCGTGAAAGCGCAGTCTGAGAACGAGCATTTGCCTCGCATTGGCAGGATCTGCAGCGCGGTCGTCTGCGTTGCTTTGGAATCTGAAGGACGGTAAGAGAGCAATACCTTCCATCCTTTGAGGTTTCATCGACAAACACGATTTGATCTGGCCCGCTGTAGAAAGGCAATAGCCTGTTCACATACTCTTGCCTCGCCAGCGTATGTCTGATGAGTAGCCCATATTTAATTTAAAATCAATCTGTTGTGGATACCTTACGTAAGGGTAAATGGCCGGCAAATACTGGCCATTCAGCCCTTAATTCGCTAAAAGGTACCCTTTAGACCAAATCGGAGCCCTTACGTAGGGCCTCCACAATCAAGTATTATTGGATCATAGTCGGCAAAATCAAACAGTGTTATTGTAAAATATCTTTTTATTTAGTGGCCTGGCTTAGCAATTCAACTCCAGTTCGTCCTCAAATCCCACCTTTAGCCCTACCCACCCTTGCTTAGGACCAGTCTTTAAAGGTCAGATTTTGGAAAGGCACAATAGTGCTAAAGCGAGATTATGTGCGCACACCAATAGTAGGTATCGATTCGATACGAATTTCAAATAAGAAGGTCTTATTTTTCTACCAATTTTTATAAACTTCACTGGTTTCACTCCACAGTAAAGGTTTGGCATGGGTATAAACTGATAGATACTTGGTGTACGAAACAAAATTAAGCTAACTGTGGTATAGTGATTTCTCCATAGTTGCGGATAATCGTCCATCGACAAAGACGCGACACCGCCCAAGATGTTCAAGCGACGAACCCTCGGTCATGTGATGTACAGTGACTCCAAGGTGCAAGAGACTCGACGGCGTCAGTACCGAACTTTCAACGGATATTGGATACGGCCCATATGTCACTGAATCCAGGCCGTCCTTATTATTAATAATGGACTGGCCGGATTCGCATTCAGCGGCCAAGAACTGATCATCTACGGTACGAACCCTCGGTGGCGGTCTGGTAATAAGGTTTTTACATTAATAAGTAAAAATTTATTAATAACTCGACTTTCTACGTTTCTACCATATTGTTACGTAAGCGCTGTAAATATGGACCTGCTTGAAAGTTAGCGAGCTACTTCAAGCTTCGGATGTTTCGAATCCTAGCTCGAATTTAAGTCAGGTCTTCATTCTCTTCCATCTCCACAAGACTTTCGCCGAGATCCATGATTGTTGTTCGCCCTCCAGCAAATCCGGTCGTCCCCAGGCGAACTTAGCGCGCTTTTCACACGTACTGGCGGGAAGGCAAACTCCGCCTTCTACTGGACGGTATGCAACCCGTGGCAGCCGAAAACAACGGTGCCCGCCGAAACACATCTCACCACGCGGGAAATGCAGACGCGAGGCGAATCTCGGGAGGGAGAGAATATATGGCAAAAAAAATCTCTAAATCCAGGTGTGTCACTAAACAAAGGGGCATTTGTTGGGATATTTAAGGGCCCTGGGGGGAAGAGATCCTCGCGGATCTCCCCCAAAAAAAGAACCCAGGAAGAAAAATTGTGTCTAAGAAGAGCGCTCGCAGATGGAGGAGAACACTCAAGTCGTCTCTCAATGTAAATTAGCCCAGTCATGAATCTATCAGATATATCCGCTCCCCGATCGCATAGAACTACCGACACCCATAAACGAACACTGCGTGGAATCAGGGCTCGGAAAGTAAAACTGCAGATTCTGTTTCCCATCGTTCCTGAAGTTGAGAGAGTACAGCTGTAGCAGTGATACGTAAATCCAATGGTATTCGCTCCATTAACATGAATCAAATATGGCGTCAATTGATTTCATTCTTAGTATCAGCTCTCGACTGAGTCTTTTTCTCCAGTGAGATGGATTTCGGTATGCAAATACGCAGAGATCGCTCACCTTCGACCTCGCGTAACTTGACGCGAGTCTGCAGCTCGTCCACCGAAGACGCGTCACAAGCGCGATCCAGCACCTCCAGGTTCACTAGCTGTCCGAATTTCAGTCGCATGAGATGCTCGCCGCGGTCCTGAGCTCTTGCAATGACTTCTTGTAGTTGACGCTTCTCCTTAGCAAGCACGTTCTGCTGTTTGTGAAGGTCTCGGAACTGTTGACGCAGCTTCTTGTTCTCTACTTGCAGCGACTCGATACGCTCGGACAACGCAGAGAAGGCGCGAGTGGTGAACACGAGGCAGCCAGCAGCTTGAACAGGTAGTGTCCAGTTCTGCGGAGTCGGAGACGGAGCTTCAAGACCACATAGCTGCCTTGTACTGAGTGGCACCACGACGTCTAAGTGGTTGAATCGCGATTGCTTTTCACTCTGGAACTGCTGCGTATCCTGCTCCGTCGCAGCCAGCGCCTTGTCGATCGCACGTTGCTTGGCTGTCTGACGCTCTCCGGCCTTCCGAAGCTCTTCGATCGCCTGGTTCAGCTCCTCCATGGCCTCGTCTACATCGGCACGCTTCTCACGCAGGGCCAGCACCTTCTCGTACAGAGTCAAGTCGCATTCAGACGGACATGTATCCTCTTCTTCTTCGTCATCGTCGTCGTCATCTTCGTCATAGCCTTCGTCTTCGTCCTCTTCTTTTTCGTCTTCGGCTTCTTGCTCCTCACCGTCTCTCGCACTGGCAGGCTCTTTCCCTTCTTCCTTGCCACCAGCAGCTGGTTTCTTCTTGGCTCGCTTAATCTAGCGTCTAAACAGCTTCTGCAGCGCCGCAAAGCTCGGGTGAAGTGTAGCACTTGATCCCGTGCTGCCGTTCACAAGCGTCAGGAACCCGGCTTGCACAGCCTTTTCCTGTCGCGCCCATTCATCCAGATCGCGTTTCTTGATCATCAGCAGGTCTTGGACATCGCGCAGGTCCGCCACTAGCCGATCGCCGTTGAATCACTAATAGTGATATACTATGGAAGGTTATTAATAACGATTTTTACATTATTACCATCCCGTTTAAGTTAATAAAGTATAAATATGTTAATTAAACAACACTGGTTGGATGAGTTTGCGGACTCAGCGATCCTTGAAAGGCACGTTCACCGTCTGGGACAGGGCGCGAGCCGCTAAAGATGCTCCGGCGACGGTGCAGACGACGCTTGGCGTGCAAGAAGATCCATAACGGATCATTGTTCACTTGATATTTGTATACTTGATTAGGACTTCTTATTAAGAAT